CGTACGGATGACAGCTGCGTATGAATTAATTTATTTTCTGGTGCTTTCACTTCCAGAGAAGGTTGTAAGCACTGTGTAACTGCCTCGAGGGTGCTTGACCATTTGAACAGAACGTGGTGCGATGATCCCCCTTGCGGNAGGTGCGCTGCATCCTGCTAAGCGTGTTCGGCATCTTGTGCCTACTTCCTTGCGTACAGATGACGGCTGCGTACGCCTTATTTTATTTTCTGGTGCTTCACTTCCAGAGACAGTTGTAAGCACTGTGTAACTGCCTCGAGGGTGCTTGACCATTTGAACAGAACGTGGTGCGATGATCCCCCTTGCGGGGAGTGAGGGCTCTCGACCCCGCACAACATGATCTACTCGACCACCATTATGGTTACCGCCAAAAAAAAAAAGAGGTGAACAAAAAAACGGTAACCTGGTTGCCGAGTTCACGACGTGAGTTGGCTTGTTCTACAACGTCGTTGCCAAGCGACGAAAACCCAATCCCGGTGGCAAACACCGAGGGGGGCCGGGGGGGCATCATCGGGAGGCACATAGGGCAGGCGGCAGCACTTCAGCTTGACCGCCTTCTCGACGACAACCTCGACATCACAGGATATTGACACCGCACAGCTCTGCTGTCGTCACCTGGAGCTCCAGAGAGCCGATGCGGTTCACCACAGGCTTGAACACGGCGCGGTCCCCGGACAGCAGCGAGCTGCGTCGGAGAGGATGGTGCGCCGCCGCCGCCGCCGCTATTCCGCCGAGGCTTCCGCCGTCGATGCCGTCGGCTACGGCGCCATCAACGCCTCCAACGGTTCCCGAAGACAAGCTTCCTGCCGATGCCTCTATGGAAAACACGGACGCGATGCCTGACGAATGACGGAGGAGGAGGAAAAGGACGAAGGACGCAGAAAGAGGAACGCGAGGTGTCCACCGGGTATATAGAGGGGCTTCCTTCTTCAGAGGGGGTAGGTGGGTTGTCTGGGACATTGAGTGCGGACTCGCTAGCGGGGCTTGTTCGGACGAGCACAGTTTCCACCCCCCACAAAGGAGAGTTCGAACCGTATGGTCAAATCGTCAGATCCGCACGCCACGTCACAACAGTCGCCACTCGCCCGCTACGCTCTTTTGACGTACGAACAAACTACGGCGACCTCGAGCGCTTTTCCTGCGCCAATTCAAGCGCGCGCAAGAGTTGTCGAACCCACACGCAACCGCAAAAAAATACTCGCACGCTACACTCCTGGCGCAGAAAAATCACAGCACGGCGAACCTCGCACATGTATCCTGCGGCAAACCAAGCACACCCAAGAGTTGTTCGCGGACAAGAGGGCGGGTGGAGGTGACCAACACCCCCCGGCCGCCGCCAGCCTGTCGACGCGGTCGCGATTAAGACCACAATACACACCCTCACCCGGAGAATCGGCCTCCCGCATCAGCGACCTCCGAGCAGCGCGCTCCTTTGCCCTGGACGGAGACTCTTCCACCAGCCTCCCGCTGGGCCCGTCGACGCGCCAGTACCCGCCGACACCGGTATCTCGGCCACCGGTGCCGCCTCCGCCAACGACCTCCCGCCCGCCTCCGCTACCGCTTGTCACCGCGGAGGACAATGACAGCGGGGAGTCGGGGAGCTCAACCGCGGCCATCCCGAACCTCGCCGGGGAAGCGGAGGCGGCGGCGGTAGCAGCAGCTGCCCCTCCGACCGCCGCCGCCGCCGCCGGTGATTCGACATTCGCAGGGCCTGCGGGCGCGCCTGCCGTCGCCGACGGCAATGGGTGGTCCGGAAACCCCCCGGCGGCCCACTCGCCGCTGCCAAAGAACGGATCGCCGGCGGCGGTGGTGGTCTTGGTCGTCGCCGACCGCCGCAGGTGCGTCTGGCGAGGCGCTTTCTCTTCTCCGCTGGGAGCGAGGGCAGGGGCTGGCTGGGTAGATACGGCCGAGGGAGGCAAGCGGGCAGCGGCAACGGCAGCGGCAACGCTGCCATCGTCCCCGCTGCCGACTCCTTTGTCCTGTCCATGGTGTTTCGCGGCGCTTCGATTGCCTACGCTCGACTCGCCACGGACACCATCACGAACATCACGACCAACACCACCCCGCCGTCTCTCCCCCTGTTGCTGCTGCTGCTGCTGCTTCTGCTGCTGCTGCTGTTTCTCAAGTTCCCCCCACGACGTCGACGCTACTCCCGCCGCCGCCGCTGTTGGTGCCGATGATGTACCGCCGCCGCTAGGGGGCAACGGCGGTCGCATCGGCGTCTCTCGGGAGCGTCGCCGCCTCGAGGCTTGGGCGTGCGAAGAGGATGAAGCGGGCAGATGTGGCGGCGCCAACGCCGAGTCCGGCAGCCACTGCACACCGGCATCAACGTCCACGTCTGGCGAGATGGGGCGAGCGGGCCAGGGGGGGGGAGGTCATGCGGTTACTTAATTTGCTTGATTGACGTTGGTGACAACAAGCTTCTTTCGAGCATCGAGCAGAAGATTCAAATGGAAGCAAGATAACAGGCTCATTCACGCACGAATATTCCGACATAGATATTGGATTTGTCGTTCGATCAAGCAAGTCTTGAGTGGGAGCTACAGAATAAAAACGGGGGAGGGGGTAGATCTCGTTGGCAACAAGTAACGGTAGTAGATGGGTGTCTGGCGACTCCACGTGACAGCAAGAAATCACGCAGCGCGTCGAATCGACCGCGTGTTAACCCGAGCGCGGGCCGCGGGCTTGCCGACGCATCGAACTACTTTACGTACGATCTTCAAAAAAATATGTTCGCGTAGGATCAAGGAAACACGGCGGTCAGAAGGTTAGAATCGTGATCCGGAACCACGACCGTGTGTGAGCCGACAGAGCATGGTAATATCATGGAGAACGAAGGCGAGCTACCAAAGAACAACAACGAGATGGTATCATGGTGCTCCTAAGGGGTGATGTTTTCCAATTATTTTCGCCTCATGTGTTGAGATCGAGTTTTCGTTTTCTTCCATAGGTGACCTGTCTGTCGGTGGTTGGTTTTTCCCATCCGGCACTGGAACTGGGGATTCGTTTTGTTCTACCGATTCGGAAGAGAGGGTCTCGGATAGAGAGATCAGAATAGTTTTTCACAAACACTGGCCTGCATGGTCCAACTTTCTTGGCGCCTCGGCTGTCCGCGCAAAATCTTCATGCGTAACTTGAGATATGGACATCTATTCCAAAAACAAGTCCAGTTGGCCTCTTCCGCCCCAACACACGAACGCACGACGGTGTGGCTGCAGGTTTACATCTATGTTGAGTGTCAAATGGCTTCCATATCGTCCGGTGGCGTACCTGTGGGTGCGGCGGAGAGCATGGTCCCCTCGAGGCCCACCGTGACAGCCTCCCTGAAGGTGGTGAGGAGCCGCTGCGCCAGGCACTGCAGCCTGCAGCTCTCGACCACATCTCCCTGCAGGGGCACGAAAAAGGAACAGACTCTGCGGCTGAGGTTTGTCGGCCAATCAAGGTGCGATATGCAGACTTCGTGTTTCAAATAGAGTTTTCGTCGATGTCAAGGTGTTAAAAGCAGATCGCAAACTTCTAAATTGGTTTTCGTCTGTGCTACTCAAACGAACTGAGACTACCTAGGCCCTGTCGACTGCAGCCCCACCACACCGCGGCCCGAAACATCGCCATGAACAACAAATCAACCCGGAGACAGCGCTGCGGTGTCTAGGGTGGCAGGCTCGCGTGCTGTGGGTCGTTCCTTCATCTTAGATGCAACGAAATTCTGCCCCCTTGTGTTGTCTACGTACCCTACCCCCGGTGAAGCCCGTTGAACGGCTGGCTGACCGACCTGCTTAGGACTTGCGGCGATGACGCCTTCCTCGACGGGGTCCAAGCCCACCCACCCCTGTATGACCCCTTGCTCCATGGAGAACAGCAGGGTGGCCCTCGCCGATTCGCTTCCCAGCAGCTGGTGAAATTGAGGCGTCAACGAGTGATCAAGGTGTTGCTGTCGGCGATGGCGGTGGTGTGTTGGGGTGCTATTGATGGCGATGCTGAGAGTATGTTTGTGCGGTGGGTGGTCTTGTTGATGTTGATGGTGTCGGGTAGTCGTTGTGGTGTTGTTTTTGTTTTTGTTGTTTCTCTCCCATCATTGGACTCTGCCGTCTGCCCCTCTGGCCCCTATCCTCCACTTCTACTGGCTAGACGATCCAACCGGGGTCACATAGGAGGGGGGGGTTGGACCCCCTCCTGCGGTTCATGCCTGAGGTATTTTTATCGCGAGAAGGGTACAGCAATCCCTTCCCTCGCGACTTACGAAGTCGATTATGGTTTACTAACAAACGAGCTTTGCAGCGCGTCGNGACGACCCAACCGGGGTCACATAGGAGGGGGGGGTTGGACCCCCTCCTGCGGTTCATGCCTGAGGTATTTTTATCGCGAGAAGGGTACAGCAATCCCTTCCCTCGCGACTTACGAAGTCGATTATGGTTTACTAACAAACGAGCTTTGCAGCGCGTCGCTTTCATCCTAGACCAGGATTTATTTAGTGAGAAAAAAACTCTCTCTGCCAAGACGTGGCCCTTAGCAGGCTGCGAGGCTACCCACTAGACCACCGGGGCGACCGTGAGTGTAATGGGTGCTGTTGTTGAAGTTGGAAGTGATAACGGTGGTGTCGTGTTGTTGAAGTTGGAATTGGTGCTGAGGCTGTTGTGGTTGGCGCAGCCGGTGTTGCTGTTGGCTTCGCGTGCAGGCATTCTGACCTCTAACCTCTGTCCCCCCCGTCCGTTCTGGTCCGATCCAACCGGTAGGGTAGCCCCTTCCGTGGCGACAATTCAACACATACACATCACGTACTAAGGTTTCCACATCAGATGGACCGGTGGGGACTTGAAGGTGCTGAGCAGGAGAGGAAAGCGTGTAATCGTCACATCCCTTAGTACGACTACACACTGGGAAAATCCTGTCGGTTCCTGTGAAGATTGCTTGAACCATGTTCAGCTCTTCTCCAGCAGCCGGTCAGCGCAGCTTTCGACCGCTCCACTGAAAAGAAAAACTAAAAAACGCACACTACATCAGCAGCTGCTTCCTGAGGTATTTCTCGCAATAAACCAGTCGTATGTTCTCATGTTATATTCATATGTGCGTGCGTACCTGGATCTGCGTCCGACGCAGCTCGATTGAAAACAGCTTGTGCATCGCGGGGCCCCCCTCACCCTCCCGAATCGAAGGCGACGCCTGCACCCCCGCGCCAACTCGAGTTACGCCCCCACCTCCCCCCACTCCGGCCGTGAGGGAATAGACGCTTTCTTCGCTCTGCCTCTCGGCCTTGCTGTACGGTGTTGCGGACCCCAGGGATCCAGAATCTCGCTTCCTTCCAGGCAAAGCAAGGGGCTGGCAAAATTACACGGTTGGCGTTTTGCGGGGGGGGGGGGGGGGGGGG